CAACAGATTTGTCCACAGTACTTACTAGATAAAATTCACAGTGAGGTATTTGGAAGCAGGATAAAGCTGCACAACATTAATGAATCCACAAGTCCATGATCTGGTAGTACTTGGTAAAATATGAAAGGTGCATTGGAAGCAAATAACAGGCTCTCATCAAGTAGAAGATGCTGGTCAGTAAAGACAATCCTTTTAGCAAAGCCCTCCCACAGAAATGCATCATCTCTTCTCAGCAGTCAAACCTAGGGAAGACTAAGCTCATATAACACTGCAAGCTATGCTGACCATCATCACATGATGTCTTTGTCCACCAAAGAAGGAAAGGTGCCTAAGAAAGGAGCATGCAAGAAAACCCCAGCTAAAATTACAGTATTAACTGCTTCCTGTAAGCCTGGAAATTCAAACAAGGAGAATTCAAGCAGAATTCTGCAACTTGCTATGAGGTCTGTTTTCCAAGGAAAATGTGATAATAAGCCTCTCTTGATATTTGGCTTTAAACAAGTCCAAGTCACCTCACGGTTTACTAGATACTAGTTTAAGTACAAACAGTACAAAATGGTATTTTTTGCCATGAAGAGACTACCTAATATTGTGATATTGACAAATCTCAACTTCATTTGGTTGCTTATTGTTCAACGCTATTAAAAAATAGACAGTTCCTGCCCTGCTCTAAAAGTCATTTGATTTTCCTTCTTGTTTCCCAATTCCTTTCCACTGCCTTGTCTCTACAAATTTTGTTAGATACAAAGACTGTTATGAATACTGCTTTCTTCTCTCCTATTTGCAAACACTAGCTTGTATTAGTTTTCATAAATCTATCAGTCAAATAACTCTTTACTTTTTACTTGTATCAGAAAAATCTAGACATTCAAGACAGTCATGTATGGTCACACGTTTGCTGGGAACCTCTTGTTGTACAGTACCAATTTTATTGCTGTGCATTTTGTTGAAGAAGAGAAGTGTTCACATATTTGAAAGAGTCCCTAAATTCTTTCAAATGAAACATGCTGTATACAAGACAATAGTGAAAAAATTTTTACATGGCAGTTTTTGGTGTGAAATGTGCATATATGTGCGTTAATGAAGACATGCTAGATGTTTCATGACACAAAAGTTAAAAACTACATCAATTTTACAAACGTAAATATGAGTTAAGTCTTAGGAACAAACATAGGTATAATAAAAAATTTCGCCGTGTTGCTAAAATAAACTTTTTTCATTTACAAAATGAAAAATAATAAAAGCCATAGTGATGCCATAACAAGAACTGAAAGAAACACCAAAAAAAAGACCAAGAAATGTTGTGGATTACAGCAGCTATTGCCCCTTGTGATGAGAGCTATCTTGCATACTAAGGAAAGTTCTTCAAAGACAGATAAACCTTCCTTCTCTACAAGAAAAAAGCAATTATAGAAATTAATTGGTCAGTTCACAATTTTCAAGGACTTCACAATCACCTCACTTTGATGCAGATGAAGCTGCAGAACATATCAGAGCAATCTGGTTTGTACTGATCTGGTTCAAGGTGAGGTTTCTAAAAGATTAAATGTTATGTGAGCAGTGCTTGTCTGATCAATATTCCTTTTATCTAGAACTATATAGATAACAATCTAGTCCATGTATGTTTTGGGCAAATTAAGGATACCAAAATAACCTTAAGCAACAAAAAACCTAGATAGATTTTCAACTCTGAATTACACATGCCAATCTGCGAAAAGAGCTTTGCAAGCTGGATGTGCCAGACCTGTAGCTAATTGAATATGTGTATGCAAAACACAAAATACAGAATAACAATAACAACAAAACACCAATACCAGAATACTTACTGTCTTATATTACCACAGAGTTAGCAGCCTACCGGGCAATGCAAGGAAAGAGCATGTCTGCAGCTTCACTGCACATATTCCTTTATCAAAACCTTTCCCCTCCTTAATTTTATGTGTATGGTAGATACACATAGATATGTGAAGATTATTCACATCAACATTGTTGTAATTCTTGGTCATCCAACAATTACAATGAACCCTAAAATCTGGCAGAATACCCTCAGCATAACAGTAACCTTCAGCTGGTCCCACAAGTACCCATTTAAATCTGACAAAGTTACCGAGCTGCTGAAAATTGCTAATTTCTGTCACCATTGTGCTGGGCACAGCTTGTTCCTGCTTGGGTGCCAGAACCCAGGAACATTCTGTTAGCATTCTATATGCAGTACCCTAATTTCTCAGTCCAGCATGTTACAGAAAGAATGAAGTTACCTGCTTCTTCCACGTAGAAGTACATTTTGACAGCAGAAGCTGCACCAGCCTAAGAATTGGAATCCTATACACAAGTGCATTACCTTAATGCTATTCCATTTCCTACACTCCCAAGGCTCCTGTTCAGCCCTGCTAGACAAGAGACAGCTATTCAAGATAGATAAATTTGCAATTAGATAAAGCTCTATCAGGAAAGACTCAAATCTGTTCTACTACATTGCATTGGTCTTCAAGATTTTTAAAAATAAAAAGAAAATAGTAGTAATAATAAAAAAGTTAGAGCTATATTTGAAATGTTTGAACTATAAACACATTAAGTGAATTTTTCAGTCCTACAAGCACTGTACCAGAGCCTAACATAGTTTCAGAGCTTCTCAACCTGCCTGTCTTGTGTTAGCTGTCTCCTGACACTCAGTGTCAGTGACACCAATACCCCAGCATCACGTGCAACTTGCCTTCATTAATGTGAAAATTATCTGTCTGCCTTTCACTTCAACAGTAATTACTGTACTGGAATTATGCCTTGAACTAAGACAAAGTGTTTTCAGGGATTCCTTCCCAACTAAATGAATCTGGCTCAAATACTAAAAGAAGACATTTTTTCCAGAAGTCATCCTGTTTGCACATTTCTCTTTCATACTGCTATCCTACTGTGATTCCAAAGACGAGCTTGACTGATGCAAGCCTGCAGAGTTATTATTTTTTAAATTTGGGAAAACACTGTTAATTATAGTGTTATATACACTTTTGAACAAGTACAGCAGGAAATGTTCATATTGCTTGGATCAATCAAAGCATAACAACCCTCAGATTTTTCAAGTTCTAAATTTCAATAGAAATAACCCCTTTCTTTGTGAATTTGTAATTGGAAGAGCAGTTTTAATTTTTTTCTACAAAAAGCAAGGTTTTGCTGTGCTTTAAGACGGTTTGACTGCTATATTGCTCGCTCTTTCCTCATTGTTAATACACAGACACACGCCCTGCCAACCACAAACAACAGTTCTGCAGGGGAAAACATACCTAAAATGAACATGTCTCACTGAAACTTCGCCTTTTCTTTATACTTTGGGAAAACAAAGGGTCCTTGAAAGCCACACTAGTCTGAACTTCTTGCCACCAGCCACGTATCTCATCTCCTTCTATCAGTATCTGACTGTTCTCTCCCAGTTAAAGGTGACTTACATAGACAGACACATTCTTCTATGGAAATAGCAAAAAGCAATTTCAGCAGCTGTGATTCATCTGTAACTCAGGACCAACTGCTTCATCCTTTAGATAACATGGCATTTTTGCCAGCCTTTCAATGACTCTTCCTTTTCCTCAACAAAGAGAAGTTTATGAGTATCTGTTAGAGACATTGCTTTACTCTTTCACTTTATCATTTCCTTGATTGTTTTACATTGAATTTTCAATTGCAATAATAAGCTTGGTCTATCATTGATTCATTTTCCTCATTGCAATATGTGCAAAACAGAATCAACAAACTCATTGCAAAATTACCATGAGGTGTCAAACTGCAGACTAGTAAGTCAAAGACCTTCCTTTTTTATTTTTACTAGAAGACGCCAGCAGACTTTTTGAACTATTTCCACTCTATCACACAAGATTATGTAATGCCCTAGAGTTAGTACAAATTAAAAGAGCCACATTCTTGTTTTAGTCCCAAGTAGCTTTGCAAATAACTCAGACAGGGATGATTTCTCTTTTACCTCTAACATAAAATAGATATGCTGTATGTATATGCTGTAATTCAGGGAGCTATAACATTGTTTCATGAATTCACATCACCACACCCTCCAAGTGGCATCCAAAGAACTGCAATAATGTGACAAAGACATTTATCAGTTGCTCCAAAAATAGGGCAGGCAAAATAAGCTCCAAAACCAAATTACTCAGATTTGGAACAACTCCTCCACATACTTAAGGAATAAATCTGTCTTCATAAACAAAGTAACTTAATAAAAATCCAACCTAAGGCTCATCTTCATACTAAAGCCTGTCATCTAGTGAGAACATAAATCACATACCCAGTCTGCTCATTTTGTCATTAGTTCTGCACAGGCATTTGTGTAATTCGTACTGCTTCACACCACCTTGTAAAACGGAAATGGTTTCCCCAGCAAGGTAAAACATACCAGATGAAAACTATCAAAGCATTTCTGTTTTAAAATCATGAGCAGAAATTTGATGAAATCACAGAAATAATTTGCTTTAAAAAAATCAACAATTTAATTATTCCCATATATTTGAAATATTTTGCAATTCTGGTAAGAGGCTTATTTTCATATTTCCTAAAGAAAAGAAGCTTCAATTGAAGAAGAATTGCCCTACTGTGCACAACATTCACCAAATTCAGGCATATATTTCATCAATTTTCTTTAAAATTAACATTTTTCTTCACAGTAAGTTCCATAGACTTGTATAAAGTACTCCCTGTGTATCTTCTGTAGAAGAACTAACATGTAAACTTCTCAGAAGAAAACACAATTTTCCTGTTAGTTTCAACAGCTGAAGAACTAAACTTCAAATTTAAAGAAATATTGCAACAAATGCGAGCACTTGAACAAGATTCTGATGATTCTATTTTATTTTGTTTTCTAAGGCTCAAGTGAATGTTCAATCAGTAAAATTTTAAATTGGCAAGTGTACTGAAACTACCAGGAACCACCTGTTGTTTCTACAAAAACTGATCTGATAGAAGTTTAGCCAGCTTTGATTCTGAAGGTGGCAAGGACACATTACCTGAGTCGTTGCGGAGGTACGATGACATTGCTGGGATGAGACAAGACTGACTGAGCAGCTCTAGGAGAACAGATGGAAGAGCGCTGCTGTTTTGGCCTCTCCCCTCGTGGCTTGTTTGAGACTCTTCATTTGATGTGCTCCCTGCAGGATTTATGTAACTGGCAAGAACCTAAAATACACAAAAATTTTTAATCACGATTGATTTATTTCACTCAAAAGAACTCTGACTTTCCTTAAGATAGATGCCCTAACACTCCACTAACTGTTTTTTGAATTCAGTTCTGGTTTTTATTTCAGCAGGCCCAAAGATGTCTCAGAATAATTTCTACATTGTTATTAGATTATTCAAACTTTGGCTAATGATAAAATTAAATAACGATTATAATTCTGAATTATTTCAGGAGATCAATTAATATGAATTTTGACAAACCTGCTGGAGTTACTCAAAGCAAGAGTTTGCCAGCTCAGACAACTGAGACCTGCAGCTGATCAGTCCCTTTCACTTTAGAACACCAAGTACACTAACTAGCAGTAGGACTTCCTTTTTTTCAGCTGCAAATGCTTCAAATATTTTTGTAACTTCTTTTGGGATGGGACTTCAGGGTTAACAGATGAAACAGTAAGTTATGGTGAGCACAACAGTTACCTGAAGAACTCATGAGCATGGCTCTGAGAAAACAAAGAGCAGCCTTCCCCTTGACAGTGGTGGGAATGGTGTCCCAGCTGCAGACCTGGCTGTCCCAAGGGCAGCTGTGGCTGAGTTCACAGGCCCTGACTGTATGTTGTAGATGTAAGCATTTCCATGGGTCTGATTTGTGCAGCTGTACTCTCAAGTAAGTAACTTTGAGGCCTGACAGACTGCAGTGCTTGAAGTCCCAGGGATTCAATTCACCTTTTCAGTCTTTTTTCTTTCATTCTCCCTCTTTGTTCTAACCTCCTTACCCATGGTATTTTGCTGCAGCATCTTATTAATATGCCATAAAACAAAATTTCTCTAAACCTTTCTAGAGCAGGGACTATCTGCTGTACAACTGACAGTCTGCTGTACAACTGACTGATGTTCAGCAAAATGCTACTTCCTTCAACTGCTGAGTGCCCTAAGCAAATGCCTCCTTACTTCATGACTTACCACATTTATAGCTAAACCTCTCCCTGGCAGAATACAGAATACTGCCTGGAAGTTTCGCTGAGAGTAATTCAGGTGATTTTCCTCTTTCTTGAATAGAAAAATGCTTTCAGATTTTATTTATTGTAATTTTGCAAGAGAAATGATGATTGTGCCATGCACTTTATAGTGACTAAAATAACTGAGCATAAAATGGTATCTTCATCAGGGCATGGGCATTTTCAAAATTGAATCTCCTTGCTCTAGCCCCAGCAAGTTAGCTAATGCTTTTGAACTGAGGGTTCTGTGAATTAGACTTTTGATGACTAGATACAATCTCATATTCTCTACATTGATCCAAGATAACAGGGATTGGTTGGGATTCATAATGGACTGAAAAGCCCAATGCATCCCTTATGCAGGATCTTCTCCTTAGGTACTTGGAAGACATCAGGGTTTTACAAAGATATAGATGTTTTTGGAGAACTACTACTGTCATGTAATTGACCTACAAGAGATTTTCTAGTATGTATGAGTGACAAGGGAAATGAACTTGGAACACCTCCTCGCTCACTTTCTCTTCAGAACTCACACCCAGGTCTTCAATGCTGCAGCCTAGTGACATCTGAAAACAGCCTTGCTCAAAATATGATCTATACAATTTTCCATTAAGACAGTTGTTTGCAAATAGTTGTTTCCCAAAATATTGTAATTACTGTTTGACTGACAAAACCCAGCTTTACTGTCCATGCTTTAAGTGCCTCTCATTAACCAAAATTTCATAATTGCACACCTGTAGAAGGCAAGTCACATGCTCTTCTTCTAGTCTTTGCTTAGTCAAAGCTTGTTCAACATCCCATCCTGAAGCTGTAGAGCCTGTTCCAAAGCCTGTACCCTTAGCCCAGTACAACTGCTGCTCTTCTGTTGATGCAGTATTGTGTGTACTTGACACCTGTGGCTAAGTAAAAAAAAAAAAGAAAAAAAGAGAAAATCACAATTATTTCATGATTTCATCTTAGTGGTGCTATCTTTAAAAAGCCTTTGTTATGCAAACAAATGTAATCCCAGTTTATTAACTTTATAAAGATATCAGGATCCAGTGAAATTAAAAGCTTTCCAAAGGAAGGACAGCAACATATATGGAGTTCTAGTAAAGGTCAGCAGTAAACTGTTAAAAGTGGTTCTTCAATTTGACCACTACTGTAAGCCTTTTGTTATTTTCTTTAAGATACTGTCACAGCTTTAATGATTTGAGGTATGAAAATGCTGCTTAATCAGTATCATTCTAAACATCACAGCTCTGTATTTATTGCCTTTTAGAACTTAGTCAAGTCTAAAAACATAATGAGATGAAGGGGATGGGAGTGGAAATGTTATCAAAAGAATGCAACTGAAACGTTAAGATGCTCAAGTATTTGTTGATTTTGATTACATGCTCCAAAATAGCAAGAGGAGTAAGTTACATGTATAGCTCTGACACACGATCTCTGAGTCAATAAAATACACACCACCTCCTCTCTAGGTAAGAGCAAGGAAGTTACTCATCCTTAAAATTTTCTGAGAGCACATTTTTCCAACAGTGCTTGTACAGCTTTTAGCAATGGTCTGCCTCAGTGATTTTAGTAATGCAACTCAAATATTACACTTCTTAGCCCTCATGAAGCACTGCAGAAGTATTTACACTAATCTTTTAATTTTAGCAGGTCTTTGGTGAAAAGAATGCAGAAAAATCTCTGATAAGCATTTTTTAAATTGATGTTTTCCTATTTACAAATTTAGCACTGCTACTTTTATTACTCAGTGACAATTAGCTGGAAACCACATCATGCAATATTTGTTTTATGGATCTGAAAAATTTCATTTTCTGTTCACATATTCTTCAGTGACTTTGTTAAAGATTGCTTATGAAAGAAAGAAGTGATGTATGAACAGATTGCAATGGTAAAAGAAATTATAACCTGTGAAGTATCATACTGACAGTAGTCTGTAATCATCTTTTAACTTTTACACTGGGAATGTAATGTGTCTTGGTGATGAAACAGCTGTGTGGTTATTTTCATGTAGACATTACTCATTACATCACTCATGAACGTGCTGTGCCTTTAACACTCGAGAGGACTGTCATGAGCACTGAATTAAAGCACTTAAGGGAGAGCCTGGCCCCAGAAATACAAGCCTCAGTGCAGGCCTGATGGATCTCTAGTTTCAAGTTACCATCTATCACTTGCTGGATATGAATTACGAGAAAACAAGCTATTTAAGGGGTCATGGTAGCACTGAAGCAGAAATAAGAATTAATGGTTGCCCTTTCCCTCCAAACATGCAAAAATGCTAAGGTGTTAATGTGTCAGCAGCCTGATACCCCATTAGAAATAGAATCTCTCAGCTTCCCCTTGAATCTGATTAGCCATTAAGGTGAATTATGCTCAGGCACAGCTTTATCTCTTGCTTGCTCAACCCTTCATCAGTATCAGAGCTGCTAAAATATGGACAGCCCTATATTTTGCAGGTAGTAATCCATATTCAGCCACCAGAACTGTTTCATGTAAGCCTCTACCAAAACAATGCTGAAGAGGGCAAGTATTAATGTTTTTTTTAAACACTTTTACAGACAATTGATACGTTATGCAGAAATGGTAACTTACACTCCTAAAACCAAAATCAGAATATACATATTCTGAATAGTGGTTGGTATAACACAGGAAATGCCTTGAAAAAAGTCAAATTTTGGAGATTAATTTGGGATCTTGAATATTATGGAAAATCTTTAGATCTCACTTAAATATCAGTACAAAGATTGTAACAAAAATCACTGCATTAATTTATTAATTTTCACAATTCATTTATATTTGTGAAGCGTCTGAAGGGAAATAGTTGGTAACTGGGAGTTTAGATGATTAATGCTAAATAAGGTAATCAGGTCATACTAGGTAATGGGTGTTAAAGAACCATTCATTGAGCATTATGCCTCTCCTGCCCTGTAGAAGAAGGTCCTGTGAAGGAAACCGATTACACCTGAATGCCTCAAGACAAGCCTTTTTTCTCTGCTTTCATGAAAAGCCTATTTTCATGATTACTATGTTTATTTGCAACATGCAGGGACAATTACCTAATCAAGAGCTTCGCAATTATTTTTGAAGTCTGCAAAAATTAACCGACAATGAAAGCAGTGAGATTATTTTCTTTTTTTAATTAAAACTGTTAGTACTTCTGGGTGGTACAGACTGAGCTGGTAACCTTACCTCTGCCTGGTTGGGACTTGAGTTGGGCACTCTTGGTGCGTGGTGGCTCAGGGCAGACAGACAAGCCAGGATAAGATGGATGGCCCCGATCTCCAGCGCCATCCGCCTCAGCAGCACTCCATCGTCAGTCGTCAGCGGGGTCGTGCTGAACAAACTGCGCAACACGTGGAAGGGCAGAGTTGGGAGCACGTTTGCTGAAGGAGACTGCAGGATATGACCTAGGTTGGAGAAGAAAAAGATCAAACCCACATTTTCTTTCAATATTTCAATATAGCCCATTAATCTCTGCAATATACACAACTATAAACATACAGAAATCTACTAAGGACTTCAGCATTCACATACAGTAAAGCTATCTGATACTATGTTTCTCTTCAAATTAAAATTTCATTATGAATATAGTATAGAAGAAAGAGTGTTTCTTGATTTTATTCATAGATTTAGTCAAGAACCAAATTTTAAAAATCTGATTTGCCATTTCCAGGGAGAAAACTGGTTCGGACTCATTTTTTTAGATATATATATTTTTAGTCTTTCCAAATACAGCAAGGTAAAGAGTGCATGTGATCAGCTAATAGCAGCTCAGCTGACAAGCAGCAGTAGTTTATCATATGTTGGATTCTTTTTAGTATTCATGTACCCTAAGTGTGAATTAATGCACTGACATAAACCAAGTTTCTATTGAAGTTGAATACATGATGAAATACTAATATAATTTTAATTGGATGAGTTGCATCTATGAATTTTGTGATACAATTACTTAAAATTTTTAACCCCTTTGCCTTATGAGCAAAAATTTTCTTTTAAAAGCCACATTTCAAATAATGGACTGACCTATGCAGCACACTCAGATATGGGAAACTGTCTCAATTTTTTTCCTGCATTTAACAATACATTTCACATTCCTTCTCAGTGCGTACACAGACAATTGACAACTGGAGATGCTTCAAACAGTGAAAGTACTTTAAAATAGCCAACTCTGTCCAGAAGTTTGCTTTCCATTTTAAATATCTTATTTTCTCCCTCATTCTTAAGAGTTTATCAGCTGTATCATCATCCAAAGATTTAAACAAATATGTCTGTATTTGTGTGTAGATGTATCTACACACACACACACGTACATACACGTGTTAATTCCTATCTATCTGATCTTTGCAAACGTAGTAACAAGAAGGAATCAAAAATCCTCTGACTGGGATCTTCATAAATAAAATCAAAATCTTCTGGAAAATAAGCCCATCTGATAGAATTCTCTAAGTGCAGGCATAGCCAAATCAAAAAAGAGAAAATCTAAATATCTGCACATTATTTATCTTTGCAGACAACTCTATCCATGTTTTAATCTATAAGCCATAAATTCATAATTGCAGCTCTTCATATTATGCAAGAAAGTAATGAGATTCTACATGTGTGAAAAGCTGTGTTTCAAACAAAAAAAGAAGATATTAACGGTTTATACAGAAAACTAATGTGGATTACTGCTTACAACTGAACCCACATTTTGTAGAGTTGAATTTAGACATTTGGCTTATGGAAAAGAGAAACGGGCTGTTTAGTCCAGCTAAAACAAAGGCTACAAGGGAATGTAATTCCTGTCAACAAATACATAGGAGAAAGAAGAGCTATTGGCCACAAACTGCATATGAATAAATACAGGCAGAAAATTAAAGCAGCCCCTACTCATCAAGAAAATTATGTTCTGGAATGGTATTCCAGTAGCAGAAGTGGCTGCACACACACAAAAAATTGAAAGCAACCCAAATTCTGAATGTCTCTTTATTTAAAAAAAAAAAAAAAAAAGAAAAGAAAAAAGGATATAAAAATTGCCTGCAGTGGTAAGGACTGGGAGTATGCTAGCAACTGCATATAGTTCTTTAGTTATTTAACACTCAAATTAGTTGGGTGTAAGCAGCTATATTGAATTTTTACTGCCCAGTTTATTCTCGTGTACTGTCCTGCACCTAAATACCAGAGAAATAAAGAGATAAGCAAAAGGGAGGGTAAACGAGATTCTTGGTTTTCCAAGTGGTCTTATGAGTTTCCATGCTGCATGCCACTCTATATAATGCTAAATAGAGACTAACTTCTGATGATTGCAGAAAAATCAGCACTCTTTTCAAAGTCATAATCACAGAATCACGTAGGTTGGAAAAGACCCTTGAGATCATAAAGTTCAGCTGTAAACCTGACACTGCTCAGGTACACCACTACACAAAACGCAGTGAAAGGAAATGCCTTAAATGTACGAAAACACGCTCTTTCTTCCATTTTTTTAAAATAGTAAGAAACACAAATATTAGAACTACATGTAGAATTCCAGGCTCATTTGCAAAGACACTGCAAAAAACAATTTTTTTCCTGGATTGTGTCGATTCTTTGAAGAATATCCCATTTCTCCCTCTGAACTCATAGCGTCAAGGTAGAGCTTCTGTTTAGGCAATTTAATCACCATAATCTCTATATCTTACTCTCCTTTTCTAGAACAATATTATTCAGTGGTTTACTGTACATCTCTTGTAGCTTTGGTCTTATCCATATTATTCTGCATTTGGTTGCAGAATTATAGGATAATTGCTCAATTTGTTGAGCATTTCCAGCTCATTCTATTATCATTCTGTCTGAATGCAGTCATCTTGACAGTGTCATTGTAGGTTTTATCAGTGCTTATTTTACAATTACTCTGACATGAGAACCCTTGAATACTGATGATTGTGATGAAACTTTGCCAGACAGAATTTAATAGAGACAACAGTTTTTCAAAGATGCCTGCAGCACACTTCTGCACAAACCAATTCTGATAAACTTCCATTCTGATATGACTTCCCAATATAAGCAATACAGTGCAAATAAATTTAAGTAAAATGATCTGCGGTCTACAAAGAAAGGTAATAATTACAGCACATACTTCCTTCACCATCATCTGTAACTCCCAACACCAATCTCAACAGACACTGAGCATGTTTCCGTTCTTTTAGCAGCACCTCAGCATAGCCCGGGAGACGGAGAAATAAACCAAAGGCAGCCAAAGAATGTGCAGGTATGGGAGACATAGTCTGGACTGTTGATTTGATCGGTGGAGGTTCTGCAGCAATTGTTTCTGGTGCTTCATACACCAATTCCCCTGATTGTTCAATGGTAACCCATTCAAACTGATCGCTGTCCTTCTGTTTTTCCTGTGTGGCCGATGTAACCACTGGAGTGCTCACCTTAACCAACAGAGAAACAAAGAAATTTGGCCGTCATTCAGTTAAACGCCTTAAAAAATTCCATTATAGTAAGGATCCAAAAGACATGCAATCTAATGTAGGAGGACAATAAGGAAGTTATATAAAATACGGTACCATTTGAAGATACAGGGACCATGCTAAATGGCTGAAAAGGGCATTCTTCTTGCATTTTCAATACAGTGCTAGAAAGCCATGCCTACACAAGCAAGCAAACATATTTTGCCAATTTAAAATCCTCAGTGAATGTGTGTTACTTAAACATAGAGGCATAAGAGACACAATTACTCTGAAGTAAATAAAAAGATTAATTTATGTACCATACTGTTAAATAAGAAATGGCCCTTATATTTTTAACATTAAACACTGTGAATGTAAATATTTAATTTTTAATTACATATTGCAAAAAGAAGAAGAATTAATCATAATGCCTTAAGAATTATTTCACGTATCTTAGCAGTTTTATAGCAACTCATGATCCTTCTGAGCTTTTGATTGATTTGGCAGGCTTTATTACTATTGTACT